GTGTAGATCTATTTGAAAAAGTGAGTGTCAAAAACCCACATTTTCACACAATGACAACTATGGAGAAGTTTATTTTTATATTCTCAAATACGAGTTGTGTACGGTATATTGTCAAAACCTGCTTTGACATACTTAAGAGAAGGGTAACTTTCCTTTACATATAAGAACATACAAATTGCTCTCTTTTTCTGATGTGTCTTTTTATATGTTTTTATTTTAATTTAAAATATGTACATTGTATATAAAAGAATAATAGGTGAATCTTTTTACTGAAATGTAGGTTTTAAGATAAATATTTTAACCAGACTAAGACTGTGATCTCACACTGTTATCAATTTTTCAAAAGTGAATACTATTTTATAGTTTATATAGTCCTAGATAAATTTAATTGGACAGTATAAGAAAAAAATATATATATATATATAATAAAACAGTCTTAGTAAATATTATTTGGCAGGATATGGTTTTAAAAATGTCATTAATTGACTTATATAAGTTTTAATGGTCATATTTATTACATATCGGACAAATATAATTATGTTGCTTCTGTATAAAACATCCATTGACTAAGCCAATATATATTGTATGGATAAAACAGGTCTTCACGTAAATTATGTAAGAAACAAATCGTTGATATACTTAAGTTAGTAATTTTTTGAGATTGTAAAGTATCAAGTGTAATAAATGACATATTTTCCAAGGTTAAATTATTTATAATGGTCAATTTTTCTTTTTACCACTTGCATTTAAACATTTTAGTAACGTTTTATTCATTGTACCACAATGTAACCTTCTGTAGGAAAAACATGCAATAGTTTGAATATATTGAGGTCATATTTTTTTTTAAAATACAACAACCTTTTAAAGAATGATAATTGTGAAGCTAGGGGGGAAAACTCCTCAGTGCATAAAACAGTAACTGCTGTGATATGGACTGCGGAGTTGTCTCCCTTAGAGGTAAAAATAAATAGTCTCTTGTAATTCTTTTAGAATGACTTTCGTGTATTTTATGTTTGTGTTTAACGTTTAATATGTAATTTTATGTATACATGTAAAGATGAGACTGAAATAAAGAAAGAAACTGTAAAAAATAAATATTCATTTGCTATTTTATTAAAGAGTATTTGATGCGCAACAGGTATGGCGTTATTTGATATATCATGGATTTGCTAACTACGTATTTAATGCATACACATACACTTAAATGTTTTTCGAGTCTCCTAAATTACCTTAAATATTTTCTGTTCACATTTTAGTGCTTAGTTGAAGAATTATTTGAAATTTTGAACATTCTTTTGTTGTTGTCTTTTTTGTTATTTGATTTAATTTGATTTCATTTCATTTCATGTATTTATTTATTTATCTATTTATTTAGATCTTATTTATTTGTATTTATTTTTTGTTATTATTTTTTGTTATTATTTTTTGTTATTATTTTTTATCTTTTATGTACAATATAAGAGTGGCATTGTGCTGTATATTTTCGGATTTATTCTTGGTTCTTTGTTGTTGTTTTTTCATGTGATGTAAATTTTTTAATTTAAATTTAAAAGAACAAGCATGATGGTAGGAATTTCAATAAAATTCTGCATAACGAAACAAAACCACTGAACATTTCAAGTAACTCATATAGTTTCATATCAGACATTATAACAAATCACGAAAGTATTATATACGGATGTCGTTGCAATTTTGCTAGATACATCATCATTCAGCATTTCATATACATGTAATACTCGTAAAGAGTTCTAAAACAGAAATTTATTATACATTATAATATATTATAGGTTTTCATACAAAACCACTTAGAATTTTATAAAAAAAATTTCAAGTCAAAATTTTATATAAGAATATCCAAATACATGTAATACATTTAGAAATGTATTGTTTATAGCAATATTTGGAATACTCATGGAAAATGGGCCAATTGTGGAGACACGGGTAATATGTTCATTTCTTCGTTTTGAATTTTTCATACATAAGATTTCACTATAGTTGTCACAGTGAACTCTGGAAGCGTTAAAGAACATGTCAAATGGATAACTTCATACAATATCCACAATATATGTATTGTAACTTACTGGCTTTGTTCAAGTCACATGACTTGTTTTAAAACTGTTCTGTCGGCGTATTAATTTTGTTCAACATACATAGATTAATTAACGCTTTTAACCCAACATACGAGGGATGATCAAAAATCTTCAATTGACGGTACCAGTTCGGTTTATTTTTTATCATCCCTCGTATATAGAATTTATACAGACATTCATGGGACTTTAAAAATGTCATTTGAGCGTGATTTGAGTGCATAAGATCATTTTCTTATATTTGTCATTATTCGTCTGAGTATCCCTTTAAATGTTAAGTCACTCATAGCCATATCAAATTATTGTATATCAAGGGCAAGTACCTGGGTATATAATTATACAAATGAAACAAATATTAAATTTTATGAAAATAACTATTACATACTTTAGTGTTTCCTATCAAAATGATACAATTCAACCCATATAAGATATGATTATATTTCATCTATTAGAAACCTTTCTTTAAAGTGAATAAGTCTATGACTACTATTATAGACCCTTACTGCGCAAAATATCTTTAAATCGTTTCAATACCATTCATCATTTTCGGGATTTTTATTTAAAGGTTCTGACTGAGATGCGAACAGTGATGACCATGATCAGACCGTGCGGCTTTATCGGCTGATCTTGATCACGGGTAATATTTGCTGCCAACGGCAGGCAACATAAGTTAGGAAGAAGTATCAAGTTTAGTTACTCCCCCAGATTAGTAAAGTAGCGTAGAGTGATTTAATCACTATGAGGGATGGAATCGTGGGGCTAGAAATAAGAATCAAGAAGTCTTTTCAAATTACTTTACTCGCACGGGAAATTTTTTTTTCAAACTTGGCTTTCAATGATTTCCCTTTATTATTTATCGGCAGTAATATGCTACATTGTTATTGCATTTTCGACTTGCTTTTAAAACATTGCTCTTTGTGTTTAGATTATGAAAGTATTTATATTATTTGTATTAATTTAAACAATATAAATGAATATAATCGTTTGTAGTTTAACTCCTGGGTTATCAAGTTCATGAGATAATGAGAAAGTTACAAGGGATGCGACTCGTACAAAGTTAATCGGATGAAATCGTAAGATCGTAAGAGTTATCCCGCTTAGCAAAATTATATTCTTTTTTTTTCTTTGATGTTTCTTTGAATGATAATATACGTACATGTATACAAGACGTTTATCAATTCAATTATTCAATAAACGACATCCCGGTGGGATGTTGGGGCAGGGGGGGGGGTGTCGTTGAAACAGTATTCGATTGGTCCATAGCTGCATCTCCAAATCCCAGAAACATCGAAACTTCTATACCGTAGTTAAGCAGTAACAACAGTAATGAAACAATTTTTGCTAATATTAAAGGGGAAACTGGACTTTATAGAGGGCGGCTAGGTTCGGACGATGCAATGCAGCGACAGGTACCTATCAAATACCACAAAAATGTACGTTCACTGACTTGTGCATATTTGAAAACTATTTAGAATTTAAATAAAATCAAAATTAATTAACCTTTTTTCCAACTTATGTTGGTGTTGTTGTTTTTGTTTTGTTTTTCCAGAAGATTTTGATAAAGTGGCTAATTAATGGAAAGGTTAAGAAATTATTGCATATAAAATAATTTTAATGTAAATAGGTGATGATTTGGAAAGCATAAAGTTTATTTAAAATTTAACAATTAATTTGATTTATAAATTCTGTTAAATATGATGTGTTATCTTTTTACAGTGTGACAAGGGAAAATACCGTTGTTTAACACATTTGCACTCAATAGCATAGTGGTCTCCCTTGAATATTCAATAACACTATGGAAAAAATGAAACAATATCTTTGAATGTAATACTAGCTTTCTTTATTATTTAATATGTTTTAGTAATATATATACACAACAGTTTTGGCTCTCCACGTACTTAAAAACTGGAAGCACAATTCTATTATATTTTTCGCTAGTATGTTAATTAACTGCTATTTGAGCCTCATTATACTTTATTCATGTTTATTACTCCATTATGTCATGTTTGTACGTGAAATGAGAGAATAAAATGTTTTTTGACTTGACTTGACTTGACTTGGAAAACAATTATTGAAGAAAAAAATCCTTATTTTATCATTATATTTCTGTAAAATACGAAATTCGGTGAGATCATTATCAATAAATGCCTATAGAACAGAACATGTAGTTAAAAAAACAGTTTCCTTCGGTCGAAATCAAAGTTAAATTTGATTACAAGTAAAACCTATAGAGTGTTTGATATCCCGCGTGTTTGTTATTTAATTAGCACATCTAAAAATAGACGTGAACTGTTGCTCATCTTCTCGAGCGCCCTTTAGCAGTTAGCGTCAATTAACAAGTTTGAGAAATGGTTCTCAGTTAGTAGCTCAAACATCACATTACTTGTGGTAATATTTGTTTAAAATGTGCATGTCCCATTTAAAACGTACATCACAAAAAGACAGCGTCCATGTTAAAACATACATGTATCTTAACATAAAAGTTTTCTTTTACAATAAATAAATATTTGATCCTCGGACATTTATGTGTTTAAAATTAATTTTATGCGCTTTCAATATATTTCAAATCAAGGCAGCGAGAAAGTTTGTTTAATTTTTACTAGGAATATTTCGCTGATACGTCGAAAATAATTTTTCAAACTTTGGAAACTAATAGTGTGCATATATGAACAAAAACGGATAGTCAATATACCGTAAATCTGCTTGGAATTGTTTGTAGATAATTCTTCAGAAAGTTCATCAATTATTCACCAATTCCTATTTAACTTGACCCCTCTGAATACCACTTAGTAGTTCAAACTACTTTCAGAGCGTGACATTTTCAAACTATATTCATGGTTTGTATAGCGTATCGGATTTAGCCGTTGAAGTTTTCTGTGAAAATATTGGAATTTTCTGGCCACATTTTCTGCCTAGCGAGAGAGAGAGAGCGGGAAAACGTATGAGTCACTGTACATAATCTATAACCACTAGGCAGGCCGATTTAAAGGACAGTCATGAATACGGTGTACGTTCTATAACTGGAGTTCCGATACAAGATCTGATGACTAGCGCCTGACAAATACGTGTTGCTCTTATTCCTAGTGTTGATGTCTTTAAATATGTGAGGATTTTGCTTTTTGACTGGCTAATAAATTGGATAGGAAAATACATGGTATGTTATTACATGTACTTTAATTTATATTCATAAATATATAGTATTATCTATAAGTAAAAATCAGGAATGTACCTTCATTATTCAATTATAATTATGAGTAATGCAAGTGCGTTAGAGTACATCTTAAATGAAAAGTCACAGTAAGAGATAGTGAAAAACATGGAAAATTGGAAATAATTATATCTACACTAAACAGACATTTTCCAAAACGCTTTTACATATTTCAATCTATATATATAATATTTGAAATAACGTTTTGCTGACTATTTTAAAATGCGCTGAAAGTTTAAACGGAATTATACTAAAAAAAGTCAACTGTTCAAAACCGTTACAAACGGTATAACGTTTACATAACCCTTACGTTAAATAGATTTCCCTTGCTAAAATGGGTGAAATTATGTAGGGATATGGTAGCTTTCTATAAAATTTTGTAGTCTCAATTTCTTAATGTTTTACCTTCGAACAGTGAAAATAGAGTCGCATGGCACATATTCTAACACACATATATCTACCATGTAGCAACTAGACTGTCGATATTCGAATATGAAGCATATGATTTGATAGTTAATTGAAAATAACTAGAACGGTTCAGGTAGCGCGTAACGGTTTTTATTCATTTCATGAGTATAGTCTGATTTTATTGACCTGTCAATTATGCATACATTATAGAACTCATTTAAATATTCGATCCCACTTCGGTTTGGTCCGTGTAGTTTACGAGAATTAATGTGGAGTATATTAGTCATGGATTGAAAGTCACGCCAGCTTAATGTGAAGGTTTTCGTTAATTCACAATAGTACAGTCGGTTAAGAGAATGCCTGATAAATTAGAGGTCTGTGGTTCGATCCTTGCTGTTGCCATTGTTTTAGTACTCTTTCTTTATTTTTGCCGTATATTTTAATGGAACAGTTTGTAGTGTGTTTTACAGCATTGAAAAGACATTTATTGATTTAAATCCGTTTTAATTTTTAAACATGAATTCTTAAAACATGTTATTTAAAAAGAATATAGATATAACAAAATTAAGTAAAACATAATAAAACAAAACGAACAACATAAAATAATCATATATAGCTCCAATATTGTTGAAAGTATTAATAAGAAAATAAAAACATAGACCTACGCGGTCTCGGAACTTAAAACACGTGTGGCACTTAGAGTATAAACTCGTGCTTTACCCTATTGCGCTATAACGCTGAGTACACTTTGTTGAGAGATACAAATTAAATTAAATTCCATCGTACAGCGTACATCTCACGGAACTTACCGAAAATCTACCGAAGATTAATATACTGTGTGCATCGACCGTGTAATCAGTATGTAATTGACAGGTTAATAAAACCAAACAATATAAGGGTTCGAAATTTTGTTTAAAAAGATACGATTTATCAATAAACTTATGTTATGCTATAACCACTTTGTACATATTTTGATTACACATTGTATTTTCCACGGTCTCTAGCATTTTTGCATATTTAGATTCTGGTCTAAAATTGATATATATGACGTGACAAATTTGTGTTATATGCACATATACATGTAAAATATACAGTGAAATAAAACAACATCTTTGTAACATGTATATACATGTAAATATTTTATACCTCATATAACAGCTAGACTGTCGTATGAACATCTTAAATTATTCGGATAACAAGTCCTTGAATTTGAAAGTGAAATTTTATTTTCTTCGTGTTATTTTGTTTGAATTGTGTTATAGTATGAATCATGTAACAATGTACCACAGTTATTTTCAGGAGTAATTCCTTGTAATAAAAAAAAGATTACTGCCATATTATATTAAGGCTCGTATTTCTAGTTGATATTTTGTTAGAGATAATGGTGGCATATTTCTATAATTGTTTTTTTCCCTGTCTGTATGTTGTGTTTTTTTATGTTGCCTTTTGACATTTGAATATATTATTCAGATATTCAGCACATGTAATAATATACACTGCTAGTTAGTTTGTTTTTAATGCTGGCAAGGGAAGTGGGAGTATGTAAAGGGACCATTAATTCGGGTCTGTTAAATTCTAAGGAAACGGACCTATTTTTTAAAATGGTAGCGAATTCAAACATGGAAAAATGAAACCATCTTTTTGATCCCATTATATTTAAAATCACTCCGACATTGGCCCAGAATAGAATACGAGTAAGGAAGCTCTACAGTGATCTTTGGGCTGTATAAGAAATTCATTTGAGGCTTGACAATATTTATGTGAGAAAATAAATTCCCCTGACTGAGAAGGAATAGCTAGAATACATGTACTTCTCTAAAACGTTTCAAATGGAAAATTCTTAAGATTTAGCATGCATAATTGTTTTAAATAATGAAAATGTAATTTAATTTTGAAAATTCAAGTGCTTAAACCCTTATTTTGTTTGAACCGAAAACGACCAACATTTATGACAAGTATAGAGCCGGACCAGCCTGCAAATCACCGCAAGTCTGAGACCAGGTTCTATACTATTGGCTGACCAAATGGAAGCCGGGCAGGTTGATATAAGAATATCAAAAGATGAAGCATATGCCTCTTATAATATATTTACAATACTTTCTTATTCATTAACATCAAAATAAATGAGCCGTTCCAAAGTTTTGTTCATCGTGACTCAGTAGTTAAACCGTGATCGCGTAAATTATACTTTTGGAATTTGGTTTTAAAACAGAGAATGATCGTTTTAGACTCCTTTGCTTGAGAGGTTTGGCTAAAAAATTCTAATTTTTACAGCTACGTTCCCTATGTTCTATTGATCACATTGTTACGTTTGTTTGCCGAGCTTTTCAAATACAGAAAGACAATATGAAATATTGAATAAAGCTATTTACATAGCAATTGGTACTGGTCGAAAAAACAGTCTCAGTTACCGAATGTTAAATCGATTCCTATAATTATGTTTAGCATATCAATTTTACAAGCGTTTACACAAACATGTTAATTATATATACATACACGATATAGCGGTGGCCCAGTGGTTCAGGTGTCTGTCTGTCAACCCAGGGAACATGGGTTCGAGCCGTGCTCGGGCCAAGACTATTATTTCACCAGTATTTGTTAGTTCCAGGAAGCGGACTCGATAGTGATTAACTTGAGTTGCAAGAACTTGTTTCGCAATCGAGCTGAACAATATAGCGGTTACTTTCCTTAAAGTGAATTGGTCTGTAATGCAAGATCTGTAATAGAATAGATTTGTGCCGCGTCAGGACAAAACCAACGTAATGCGTTTGCGACCAGCATCCGCGCAGTCTGATAAGGATCCATGCTGTTCGATTACAAACTCTATAACAAGTAGGGGCAGCATGGATCCTGATCAGACTGCGTGGTCGCAAACCCACTCTGTTGGTTTTGTCGTGACACGGCTCAAATATTATTTTGATTGTATTAGTAAATATCAGACGTAACAACAAACAACGAAATATATAATTATGTGTAAATGTTATTGTGAGATATATATAACCCTCCATTACATATATTCATATAGCAGATAATAAGTTGTTCTGTAACTGAATATTATATTATTTAAATGTTCATACTATATCACTCAGATTCTTTTTTTCAAGCAATATTTTATTAGAGTTTCCAAATGGTACATTTCTATTGTTTTTATCAATATTTGAAATACTTGTTAAAAATGAGCCTATTGTAGACCTATTGCACTATTAACTAACTACGGCTGTTTCTGTTTTAAATATCTACCTGCACTTACTCACTTTTATTTCACCTATCTCGACATCTTTAACAGGAATTCAACGAATGTTATTGAATTTGTTTAAGCTCAAATCTTGAATCTTTGTATCTTAAACTGCACTCAAAAAAGTTTAAATTGAAAAAGAAATCGTTTTTATAACAACTAAATGCTGTAACCGGAGTACAATGGACACTATTATACAGATTTAACTCTATATCTTATCCAGTTTTTGTACGGATAATAGAGCGATTCTCTGTTAATTAACGTTTAGTGAAACATGTAGGTTCACCTGTTGTTTTTCATTCGGCGTTTTGCACTAAAACTATTTAAAGAAACTATTTTAAATAGTCTAATTTAACAATCGGTTCATTTTGTTCGGTATTTCCGGTTTTAAACTTTGCGCGCCAAAAAAATATGCTTGTCAGATTACAGTGAAACCCGAGTTTCTTGTGCAGATAAAAACGGACCTAATGTCTTGACTATAAAAAAGAGTTACGTTCGTGCCTTGGCAATAACAGGTACATTTGCAATCCTCAAATAGAGTATACCTTCCATTTCTTGACAAATACAGCCAAACTCCGCGCACCGGCCAGTACCTTATCCTGTAAGGGGAGATCACTGCGTGGGAGATTGAAATGCAGCTACAGTCACACCCTTTTACCTACTAAATTCGTATAGTGGACTTGTCCTGCTTGGACTTAGGAACAGTCCATTCAATTTTTAAGGGATTTTAATAACAAAATATGGGGAAACTAAGCTATCAACCGTATAGTGACAGGTAAATCAGCGCATACGGATGTAGTTGCTGGCTTGACTATACTTTTGACTAACTATTCTCGGTTCCAGCAGCTAACAAAATTAATACAAGTTAAAATATATTTATAAACAAACATAATAAAACAGGATTTCTTATACCATGGAAAGGGAATTCGGTGTGATTCAATTAAGAAAACAACAGCACATTCATAATTATGTCTCATTGTTTACCTGTTATTCAATTATCATGGCATAACATAACACTAGCATGAGATTATGGATATTACGCAACGCTTTCTGCTACCTGTTACAAATCAATTACCAAAGAATACTAGTGGGAGTATTTCGCTTCTCATTCTGGCTTATTATCTATGTTATTTATCCTAGAGGATTGTTACCTGTGGTTTTGTAAGACAGCATGAGGTCATTTGATATAATGATTCAATAACAAGTGAATAATTCAGCGGAAAGTGTAATAATGCGCGAAAAGTAAATTAACGTTCGTGACTTATTTATTACGCGCTAAGTAACTGAGATTCAAATTCTTGAT